AACTTTCGCAATAAAATCTGACCCAAATAATAACTAAACCTTCAGCTACTATTTAGATAATAATTGAATGCACCTTGGCCATTAAAGCTTATCAGTATTTTATGGCAACAATTGCAATAGCTTTAATGGCACGCATTTCCTTTGCTGCAAAACTATGCCAAAATCCTTGAGCAGCTATCATTTCCTCAGAGCAAACCGTTGCCATTTATGGCCGCCAAATGGGTGAAGTCATAATTTAATGTGGCCATGCTCCGTCCCACCCAAATGGGTCATAACTTGATAATGTTCAGTCCGGAGAGGGTATTCGTATTGGCCATGATAAAACGTGCCCCACTAGAGACGACCCAAATGGGCGTTATTAAAGTGCGTTCATTTTGTCAACATCAAGTGCTTGACCGGCAACTGGTCTTAAACCAATTTCTAATGGCCAATCAAATTAAATTTTGTACACCAAAAACTCTTGTTTAAAGAAGTCAGAGGGCTCCGGAAACGAAGTGCCAGACTTGCAGATACCCTAAACTGAGCGCAAAGCTAACATTATAAACATGTAAGCTTCTTTTTGTTAAGCGAATGCAGCTGCTGTGCCTCTTCTTTCATTTGCAAGACTCTATATATATGCTAATGCGTTCTGACTTAACTTCATCATCATTCTTAAATTTTCTGAGCTTAAGACATGGCCTAGAAATGTGAGCATATACTAAAGACCAAGAATCTATTAGCCAATAATTGGGGGGGAACTAAGTAGAGTTAACATAAAATTTAAATATACATACACTTGATTGGGCAAGAGATACATGTTATATACGATATGCCATTTTGAAACATTTTCAATGGGTTCAGGGCATAATATGCCAATAATTTCTCAATGGCAAAGACGGACACGCCTTGGTCCATTAGCCAGGGGCCAAAACAACAGCTGCTGAGTCATCAGACAGCTGCTGGCTCATTTGTGTCGAGGGGACTGGGTACTATTTTTATCACTAATAGATGCCACTTTGTTGCTGTGGGGAGGCCAAGCAAACAGAAAATAAAGAAAAAGAAGAACGCATCACAAGTTTTGTGGGGCCCAAATTGTTGACAAATTTCAAGGCGCACCTGGAAGACAAATTATCTATGGGGGCGGCCAACTTTCCTGCAAGCTAATGAAATGATGACAAAGCGGCCAAGGCGTTGATAGCCAAGCTAGCCCAAGGACCCAAGGGCCAAGGACCAAGGACGTACGAAAGCCAGAGTCTAGTCGCGGAGCTGAAACTTTTGTTTGTTTGGCGTGCGATGTAAATTTTTTTCATTCACCGTCATTAATTACACGCTCGGCGTGTGAGAGCGGAAGGCGATCAGGATGCGGAAGGACTTGCACGAGACTTGCCCGCAGACGGGCAGGTTAAGTGAGGTTATGTACACACACACACACACACACACACACACACACAGACTGCCAACTTGCATCCGTATTTGTATTTGTGTTTGTTTTTGGCTGGTTTTGGCTTGGCCATTGGAGGAGAATCTCGAGCTTGTCTCGTAAAAGCCAAATGTCGGGGCTATTTAGTTGATTACAAACACAATTAGCTACGGTTTATTTGATTTTCAAATCGCAAAACAAACGTTCTGGCCAGACTTGGCTTTCGATTTGGCTACGTTTCGCAGTCGACTAAAGAATTTTTAATTTATTGTTAACGCTCCAGCTAATCAGCTCTATTAAGCAACAATTCCCATTTGGAATTGTAAATGCGTATTTTGGGCATCGATTAGTAAAATTTATGGATCTTTACAAAAAAATATTTAAACAGCAGCTGCGTTTAAAACGTTTAAGAATATTACACAAAGAGGAAATAAAAGAAAGAAAGAACAACTATAGCTTCTTCTGATATGTAAATAATCTTTGACTATGCAAAATTATCTTAATGCCGCTTGTTCCTTTAAAACTTTGCCGCTTATCAAGTGACTCTCAAACTGTGCTGGGAAAACTTAATAAAAAAAGCCCAGGCCTTCAAACAGTTGGCGTGCCCCGATCTTTATTTACTTTACACCTCTTTAAAAGCTTAACGAGCTGTCCAATTTTTCAACTCAAGCACGAAATTTAACAAAAATTCCATCCCTAGCCAAAAAACATATTTAAATACAAGTAAAAATCATTCTCTTATTATTAATTTGATTAAATTAATTTATAATCAAAACTCTTGACAAACTCTTAACCAAGTTGTCAAGCCATAATTAGTTTGTTTATATCTATATATTTTTTCCTTTTCCTTGCGCTTTTCCATGCCATTTTCATGCACTAATGAGCAGACTAGTCAATCAGCTAAGTACTCAACACTTAAATAGCTCGTTAATCCGCCTGGTTAGCCACTTGACATGGCCTTGGCAATCGGGCTTCAGACTGCAGAGCTCGAGTACATTTTCGCATAAATCAATCAAATGGTTTTGCAATGCAATTGCCAATCAATAAACCAAGCCAAAAATAGCAAGCCAAATAAAGTAAAATAAAATAAAAAAAAAAAACGAACTACCCAAGTTGAAGCAACTGCAATTTATCACTGCAAATAGAAAAGGTGCCGGCAGCCACCCACACAGAGCCCAACCATTAGGATATCAATTTCAGGCGCCCGTTTGGCTCATTTCTAATGCGCGACGACAGCGCGCGCCTGCATAATTATGCATGATTCAGCCTTAGATTCAGCCGTAGCCACCCACTCACAAAGCAAGTTTCAATCGAAAGTTCGCAGCATTTAGGCCACCAATCAGCGTCAGAGTCACCAGTGGACGAGGGGGTGGGTGGGGCTTGGTTAATGCCAACACGAAGGCGCCTGTTTTGAATTTTGAAAAAGTACGTGAAGCGAGGCCAACTTTGACCCCCTCCCCTCCCACCCCTTCACTCACTCAGCCTGGTGCAGTGCAACACGGCTGTGTAGACATAGCCTTAGCCATATCCGTATCCGGCTACGACTACGGCCATAACTGCACCAAAGTATGGCAATCATTTTTGCTTTAAGGCAAAAGGCGTCGCGACTTGCTCCGACGCTCGGAATGACCAACATTTTCAATTACAACAAAGGAATGCCGGTCATTATTTATTATGCCGACCGCATGGCCTCGAGCAGCTGCCCCTTCCACACCCCCCCCCCTCCACCACCCTACCGTTCTCTCCCTTCCTGTTCAACCTAGCCATCCTTTAGGAGCCAGCTCATTTCAGCGCTGAGCAACTTAAGCCCTTCCACAGAACGACTGTCCTTTGGCTATTCGCGTCGGCTGCTGCTGCTGCTCCTGACGCCGCTTCATTCATCTAATATTCATGAAGAAAATGTTGCGCTCGTGCATATACATTTTGCAGTCACTGTCTGTGCGCCGTCATTTTTCACAAACAGATCGCCCGTTGCCCCAGCGCCAGCCTCCCGCTTGGCGGCTTTTCATAATTTTCTGTTTATAAGACGTGCAGCAGGCTGCACTTTTTTTTTATATATATATTCGCCCCTCACTCGACAGCCCCCCACCCCTCGTTTTCCGCACAGTCTTCCTTAACCCCTTCGGCTTGTCAGTTTTATGTGTTTTATGAAATTTCTCGCTGCATATTTTGTGTATATTGTATTACGCTTTTGCTTAATTTTGTACGCCGCTTGTTGTAAAATGTTCTGGCGAAAAATGCTCTCATAAATCAAACACAGGCATTTTTCTTAAGCCCCCCACCCCGCCGACATCCCCTTTTGCCTTGTGCCAAGTGGCAAACGAGTTCATTGGCTCTTGGGTTTTCGTATTTTATTTTCATTTTTTTCTTATCTTTTCGTTTTGCTGAAAATTTTAATTGCATTCTGAAAAAGCAAGTTGTAGTTTTCTATGCCAACTGCTCAATTTAACAAAAGCCTCGTCTGTTGCTTGAGGACAAAAGGTCACAAGAGCATATTTTAATATGCATGAGGCGGGGGGTGTGGAGCAGACAGCTGCCACAAGAGCAAAAGTGAATTCGAGCCAATAAATAAGTTGAAATTCAATTCAATGCAAATACATAAATCGTATTAAGGTCATAATTAAAGCATTTGAATTGATTTAGTTTAAATGCCAAGTGAATTGTTTGCATTTTAAAGTGTTTTAAATAATGTTTGAATATTTATTGGACCCAAGCCAATCATTTTGTAAGCATTTGAAACCATATTTAATTTAAATTTGCAAATAATTATGAGGTAAAAGTGGAATGCATATAAAATAATATATGTTCTAAAATAAAAACAATTTCTATATTGATTAAATAATAATTGTTCATGGCTAATTATTGATTTTGACGAACGCGAAGATTATGAGAGCTGGAACTTCACAGTTTTTTTATCTTGGAAATTAATAGTGCTTAATATGATGGAGACATGCGAGTTTTCCCCCATAATGGGGGGATCAAAATCAAAGTCAGAGCCTACAAAGATCGAACAGTTAATACCCTAGAGAAGAAGAAGAAACACACCCGCTGCATAAAATGCGTGTACATGTGTTTGTTTTTCTACTTGTATCTACAAATGGACTCTAAGATTTGTTTAATGGATCGAACATTAGCGAACATTAGCACTCGTAATTGTTAAACAAATAAATACTATATGAGCAAAAAGCTGATAAATCTATGCAGCTCGCAATTACTCATATTTTTTAAGCCCTTGGCAATTTCCGCAAATAGTAGGTCAATTAAAGCTCAATGTACCAAATTATGATTGACAAAAGGCAAACATCAAGACACAAGCCCGACAATATTAGTATGGCCCGGTTTTCTATACCACCGAAACCCGAACTAAGACACAGATTCTGAAAAGAGAAAACAGAAATTAAGTTGCCAAAGGACACGGTCTGCCCGAAAGGCAAATGAAAACAATATGATGATGGAAATGATGACAAGCAGAAAAAAAGAATAGAAACGAACAATGTAACCCTATGCTGAAAATGAGATACTCTACAAGACATAACTCGCCAATAAATATTTGTCATTGTTCACTTTTTAAAAGAAGCATCTAATTTATATAGCGACTTACCACATATCCACAGATTCCAAACTCTATTGCACATATACTTGATCGATTTTTTCTAGAAGATATAGTGCAACGATCTCAAAAAGATTTCATAAGCTGAGCAGCTGAGACTCATACTAAGAACGATTTGGCTTAGATATCTGAAAGAAAGGTTGAAAGAAAATTATTATTATTTATTTTATTTTATTTTGTTCATAAGTAAACTAAGAAATATAGAAATCTAATCGGATGAATTTTGAATATGTTATGGGCCTAATCTTATATGAGATACATTTATATCTTTTTTGAACAATAATTTCCTTTTACTTTAGCTGGAGCCAATTTTCGAAGCCCTTTTGCCACACAGCAGTCATTGTAGCAAGGTTTTCTTGTGGTTTAATTTGGTGATTTGTAATCAACATATAAATAAAGTCGATCTGCATCTGGTCACACTTAATAGATCTCAGTCTTTATATCTTCAACATTTACTTTGTTTTATATCAAATGTCAACTAGATCATCGTAGTAAAAACCTTTCTAATTAATATCAAAATGTTTGTTATAAATTCACATATTCCAATGCAAATTTTTAATAGCAACTGGTCACACTTTATATTGCCAGAATGTTAAGGATCTAAGTTCATTGTAATTAATTTACGATAATAATTTGACTACAAAATTGATGCTAAAAAATCTACTTTGAGAATGTATTAAGCCAACCGGTCACACTTAATGTCAGGAATGTCTAAGTCTTGAAATTATATTTCCATTTCCATCATAAAATACCAACTATGAGACCCTTATGGTTAGAGTATTCAAATACAAGCAAATGCTACTAATTTGCTAGGTTTGTATTCATAATGTTTTTGTTGTTGTTGTTGTTGTTGTTGCCTTATCCGTTTGCGCTGCCTAATTGTTGTCCAGCCCTGACACAGTGCCACAGATACGAGGCAGAAATCCAAACAATGGCAAACAAAAGTAAATGCATAACCCTTTTTTTTCTGTATGGGGCGGAGGAGGAGCAGGGAAGTGAAGGGAATTGTTGCATAAAGCCGAACAACAAATAAGTTTGAGTTGACGGCAAATGCGGCGTATGCGTAATATTATTTGTGTTGTGCGGTCACAGCGGTCTCTCGATTTGATTATGTAACAAATAAGCCGCACAAGTGGCTCACCAAACAACAGCAGCGACAACAGCAACAACAATAAAGACAACAACAAATAAGCCAGTTTTATGGCAAACAATAGAAATATATACACATTTTTGATTTATTTGAGCGTGTAAAGGACGCACACACACACACACACGCACACACACTCGCGCACACACACCGGAAATCCAAGTAGGAAAAACAGAAGCGGCAAAAAGTTTTCGTTACAATTGTAGGCCATGCCACGCCCTCGTTGTTCCTGGAACACCTCGACGATAATCCTGTTAAAATTTGTTTGTTTCCATCGTGCAAAAGTTTTGCTGCCGATTGTTTTTTTTTTTTTTTATACATATACCCTGAACCCATTGAAAATAGGCAGAAAGGGTATGAGGGTTTTGTGCGTATGTATGTAACTGGCCGGAGGAAGCATCAGCGGACCCATAATTGACTCCCAATGCGAAAGATATCATTATGAAACATAAAATCCGTTTTTTCTACTGCATGTAAAACTTAGGTCAAATCGAACGGAACGAACCTCTATAACACATAGCTGCCCAAGGCAAAGATTAAGTTCTTGAGAGGTCTGAAGCTAACTTAGCATTGTTCGATTTCCCGTCTTCCTCATATATATAAACCATATCTTAAAAATATTTGACTTTTTTTTTGTACTTTCGAACTTACTTTCAACATATTTTCCCAGCCTTAAGCCACATATCTTCGAGAGTATTTAAGCTTCGGCTTGTCCTAAACAGCTTTTCTTGACTGTATTTTTTTTTTTTTTTTTTTTTTTGTTTTGGTTTTTATGGCTGCAACTTTGGCAGGTTAACCAAAACTGAAATCGATTTAGGAGCAGCCAACAGGAAATTGATTTCGTATGCCAGCCAGAGCTAGCTCCCTTGGCTTCCATTACTGCAACAGCCCCTCTTTCTCTCTCAGCCCCATCACGCCTTCCCCGCCTGGCTGCCTTCATTCTGCCAAATGACCCAATAAAACACAAAGCTAGCAAAATGTTGCTTTGATTTGGCAGCAACGCGCAAATTAGCTGCTCCATAGTTTTTCTACCATTTTTCTTTTATATCTTGCCATAAAATGTTTTCGCGCGAATTTTAATTTTGCCACGCCCACCCATCCCCGACCAATAGGTCCAATCCCTCGATTGTTTACCCTAAAGCAAAACGTGAAATGTTTGCTTTTGTATTTGCTTGTAATTCATTTTAGCATGAAACTTCATTTGCTCTGCAGCTGCTCGATTGGGGTTCGCGAGTTTCATTGTTTTGTCCGCCACGCCCCGTTTCCGTGTGAAAAGTGCCCTCGTTCAATTTTCAATCTGACTGCTTCCAAATGCAATCGATGTATTCCAGTTTGTTCGTACATTAAATTCGATTTATTAATTAATTTTTCGTGCCACACACTCACACACACACACATAGTTTGCAACAACTTTGACAGTGGCTAACTAAATACTGAAAATTCAATTTAAATTGGGGTTACGAAAAATGAAGACAAAAACTAAACAAACTGGAAATAATGGTTTGGTAATTAGTTTAGTGGAAACAAAAAAATGAAAAAGAAACAAACTAGCAACGAATTGTCCAATACTCTATTCGTAGTAATGCAACAGCTGAAAACATTTGTTTGTTTTTTATCCGTTCGTCAAGCGTATGAAAAGATGAATTTAAATTAGAAAACGAAAGAGTAAGAATATCTTCTGTATGCCGATGCGTTTACACCCTTGTAGACATTTGCCTTGTGCAGATATGTGAGAATAGTGAAGCTCGTTAATGCTGAGTTTTATGAAATTTTTTTGGAAGACAGCAAATTTTGTCAAATAGAACCTGCTTTTGGACAGATGATATAGTGGTCCGATCCGGCTGGTTAAGACATAAGTGCTGAAACAGACAGACAGACCGACATATCTTTATCAAGTCTCCTTCCATGCGTTACACGTTCCATAACAAAATTATAATTACCTCTAGAAGGGTATAAAGGGTGTCATATAGCTCCCCTATGATATGTAGTTATCATTTTATTTATTCACTAGAGTACAATATATAATTTTGAGAGTGAAAGAAAATTGAGTATGCCAGCTGTTGAAAATCATAAAACAAATGGCTTAAATTGTTGCATTCACAATTAATCTGCATCATGAAGTCTGTTAATATATAATACTTATTCAACTTGTATATTTTTGTTTTTTAAAAATGGAAATCGTAGCAAATTACAATCAACTTTACGATAATTTTCGGTCAAGAAGTTGAATATTGATGCCTTTTTCTATTAAATTCCCGTTTGTTAAATGTTTTAAAAGAAGAAAAGCGTAATTCATATTTATTTTATTCTGTTTGTAATCAATCTCTAGTTGCTAAATTGCTAGTAATCAATTTCACTTCAATTTCACTTCAATTTCATCTGTCAACCAGATGCTGCCACTGCGAAAGTTCATTGAACTCTGGTGCCAACTGTTGCCTCGGGCTGTGCTGTGGGGTCTTCAGATTGTTGTAATTGTAATTGCTAACAAGTGTAGCCGAACACTACTCAAAATCATAATATGTTCAGTCCTGTCTCCATTTCCCAGCCACCTCTCTCCACCCCTTCACTCGCTTCTACACTCGAGCTCATGGATACTTGAACAGAATTTCCACAGAAAACAACTTAATAACTTTGGCACAATTGTGGCAAGAGTAAAAGTAGGCAAAGTATCTCAACTGTTGCCGGCTGTTTATTAAATACTTGTAATACGCACACACACAAGCGCACACACACACTCACACGCACACACACTGCATAATGAGCGACACTTGCAGCACATTTAACGGACAGAAGCAACAAATGTGTTTCATGTGGCAGCAACTAAGCAACTTGCCACTCGACTTAATGACGTTTCACAGGAACTCCAGTTATTATTTATTATTATTTATGCTGCAGATGATGAAGCGCTTTTCTCACAGTTAACAACTATTTATGCTTATTAAAAGCAAATTATGCAGCCAAATACTTAAACATATCTGTCTTTTTTTGCACACGAGAAGCAACAAATTATTTGAAGCTTACGAGAGAAAAGAAAGGTTCTGCTAAAGAAAGATTTTGCTCACAAAGAATGCTGAAGATTAAATACCCTTACATCTAAATAAAGGGGTCAATCTGTAAGTCAGTCAGTCAGTCAATCAGTAAGTCAGTCAGTCAAACAGTCAGTCAGTCAGTCACTCAAACAGTCATTCAGTGAGTCAATCAGTGAGTCAATCAGTTAAACAGGCAATCAGTCAGTCAATTAGTCAGTCAAACAATCAGAGTATCTGTTAATCAATTAGTCAGTCGGTCAATCAATCAGTCAGTCAGACAATCAGTCAGTCAGTCAATCAATCAATCAATCAACGAGTCAGTCAATCAGTCAGTCAGTCTATCAATCAATCAATCAGTCAATCAACCAGTCAGTCAATCAATTAATCAATCAGGCAAACAACCAGTCAATCAATCAATTATAGGACAGATTTCTGATATTGCCATAATTATCGATTTATTATAAGCACAAGAAATGGAAGAATCACAGAGTATCAATCAAGCCAATTTATCCTGACAAGAACCTATATAATTGAGGGGCTTATGAATTGATATAGCCTGGTTTTATGCAATCGAATATTAAGCATAAATCTCTAATAATAGCCAACAGTGAGGGTATGAAAATGTTAACAAAATTACTCGGCATTGTAAAAGCTTCTCCATCACCAAGCGGAAGCGCATAAATTTGCCAAAAGTACGTTTCAGGCATAGAGGGAGACAGAGAGAAAGGAAGTGAGAGAGTGAGAGTTGGGGTTAGGGTAGTGAAAGAAAGAGAGAAACTAATCAATCTTAATGTCACAACGAGCAACAAATTTTTAGCTGTTGTTATGCCAAGTCGTTGTTGTTGTTTTTGATGTCATTAGAAAATGTTGCAGGTGAATGGAATGCGAACGATCCATTTTCCAGGCTAAAGGCAAACTTTTGTCAGTTGCTCTTTTCGGGAGATGCTTGTGA